TGCTACAGTCCTGCAGGTAGAGCTGATCAGCTATGTCATGATGGATACCAGTTGGTTGGGTAAAATGCATGACAGTTATCCCTGAACCATCTGATTAGTTTATGCTCACCTATGTGGCAGGAAGAAGTTGAGGGCATTATAAACAGTTTTGCAAATTTACCAGCTAGAGCCTACATGTAGTCAGTATTGCCTATGTCTTCTCACTAGTTAAATAACATAATCTGCTGCAAAAAATGTTATGTGTTTGAAAACTGCCATAACTTTGAATTATGTGTAATGCCTGGAATGAATCCAGGCTGCTATAATATAAATGTGTGATAAAAATGAGAGCCATCTGCACATAATGGACCCAACATAAGATTGCACTTTCCTCCCAATGACATTATATGGAAAGAATTCAGGAGCCAAGATTCTCATTGCCCCTGTAGGCCTCAAGCTGTTAACTGGAGAGAAGCAAATATGAGTCCCAGACAGTAACACATTTATATTTCTGAGCTACAGACTCACATGCCAGCTATAAAAGTGTACAAGCAGGAGGCCAGCCAACCCTGAACTACAGCAATCTCTCACACCACACCGAATTTTAGACTAAATTTCAAAATACTTTTTCATTAAACACTCCTTCAGAAGTAAGCAATACTTTTACTGGGTGTAGTGAGATTCTAGAGGCATAATTCCTGTGGTAAATTGCTTGGAGTGTCCTTCAAAAAAACACACAGTATTTATTTGATGTAAATGTTTTCACATAGTTGCAGAGCATGTTTCTTGAGTCTCTCTCTCTCTCTCTGTGTGTATGCCCTTCCCCTCCAAAGGATAATGGGTGCCTGAGGATTTACTTGTGCTGATCAGGGAAAGGGGAGGAAACTTCATGAGCACGGCTATAGCCACAAACTCTGTTGCTGTGCTGGCGGGTTTCTGGACTGGGACCTGAACCTGATGTACAAATGGGGCAGCTGGATGTAGAAGGTGGCTCATGGATTGAGGTACCTCTGGATGCTACAAATGCTTTGACCTACATTCAGATAGAGAACATGGAAGAAACAACTTGTGCACAATGTACCTGAAGACATGGTCTAAACTGGAGCTCGGAAGAATGTTGCCTTTATATAGTGCTTTAAAAATGACACTTTCCTCAAAACCAAATTCTGAGTAGCTCTGAATCTTTGTAAATTTATTCCTTGTTACCATAAAGTATTTATAAAATGAGGGAAAGTTAAGGTAGGTTTAAAGATTTATTCTAGGGAATATTGCAATGGCTGTAAAGTGATAATCTTTTGTATAGTTGTTTATTCACAGTTAGTGATGAGCAGTTCCTGTTTCAGCAATGCAGCTCTTCATTTTATTCTTCTCTAGAAGAACAAGCCTTGTGAGACTCTAGGTAGATGCTGCTTGGTTTGGAGAAGCTGATCCTGCTTTATGGATTAGCACTCTCCATCTTGGTGTCAATCTGCCCGTCTGTGCTAAGCAAACAAATGACTATCTCTTCCGCACAACTATTGGGCCCATTCTTCTCTAGAAGAACAAGCCTTGTGAGACTCTAGGTAGATGCTGCTTGGTTTGGAGAAGCTGATCCTGCTTTATGGATTAGCACTCTCCATCTTGGTGTCAATCTGCCCGTCTGTGCTAAGCAAACAAATGACTATCTCTTCCGCACAACTATTGGGCCCTCATCTCAAATAAATATTAACTCAATAATACTGCCCTCAACACTTCTCATGCATCAGGACAATAATGGGTTGGGTCCAACTAGCCTTTCCATTCCTGAAAAAGGGAGGAGGGGGACCCCTTTGACTACGGAAAAGGGCTAAAGCTGGAGATCATAGAACCTGCTGGAGATCATGGGACAAAACCCACACAGGATGGACACTGTAGTGAGGAAGGGAAAGAAGTGAGATCAATTGAAAAATCTGGCTGGATCCAGCCCACTGAGTATATAACAATATATTTGTTGGTCTCAGAGGAAGAGAGCACAGAATAAGCAGGATGACATCTGGTGTGGAACCAGTTTGGCTTTAAAGCAGTAGGTTTTGTGTCCTCTAACTGAAAAACAGAAGGAAAAGCTCAAGTTGTCCTGCTCCCCATTGTTTTTTCTCTTCATTTTCAGGAGTGAAACGCATCAAGTTAAGTCCTGCTCCCCATTGTTATTTCTCTTCATTTTCAGGAGTGAAACGCACGTCTGCAGAAATGTGTGGAGGTGAAGTAAAAATAAGCAGGGATGACTCACCATATGCAACAAATCATATAACTTACTCTGCAGAAGATTTTGACAAGCTGCTAAATTTAGCTACTTATAACGTCCTCTGTAGCAAAGAGCTGCTTTTACAGAGCATTGAGAATGCAGTTCTGAAGAGGCAAAACGTTTGGCTTGATAGGTCAGTCTAGAGAATAATTGTCTTCTGGTTCGAGATGATGCTAAGGAGTTGTTCTTGTGTAATGCAGTTTTTGATGACAATCCTGAGATGATGGCTTCCAAAATGCTTATTTATGAATATTTTTATAACCCTCTCACTTTGGGTATGTGTCCAGTGCATAAGACAAGGAACTCAGAATTTTTCAGCAGGTGGTATGTCGAGGGGGTCATTGATGCTCAGCTTTCTGAGACTACTGGGCCAGTATTACAAGATGGTACTGAGGTGTTATTGAAATAGAGCGTACTTGTTAATACTCTAATAATGGAGGGAATCTCAGCTCGCCTCTGTAGCCCTAAGGGAAATAAAAAGGATGCACTGGACGTCTGTACTACTGAAATGAAACCAAGAAGAGTAGAACACTCTTGGTTCAGTTCTGGTGTCATTAAGTCATATATGTATTTTCCATTCTCCTTTGTTGAAAATAATTGGGTTGGATCTTACCAGCCTTTCCACTGATGCAGGAGGGATGATGGGAAATCTCTCGGAGTTTCAGTCCTCACTGCAGGTCTGTTGTGCATCCCATGATTCCTAGCAAACATTTTTCAGGGGTGAAAAGGATCTGCTCATCCTGTTTGTGTCAGTAGAAAAGCTGGCAGGATCCACACCATTATTTGTGAGACCTGTTTAGATATATTCTACCCTTAAGGGTTGACACATTTCAGCTGTGAATTATATTGCATCTGTTAAAATAATTTAGTATGACATTATTGTTACAGTTTTAATGCATTATTTATAATATTGCCTCACTTACACTGTATCTGTATACATTATGTTAATTTATATTAAATAGCTCAAATTCAGCACAGGACACAGTTCCATGTGTTTGAAAGAACTTGTAGCTTTATCCCTAATTCTGATATGACTCAGTACAGAGCTGACTCAGATGCAAGTTAATACATGCTCTTTTCCTCTTAAAACATTGAAAAATGTAACCTACACCCTTTAGAAGACGGAATTTTAATGAAGTCCTAATTTGCTGGCAGAACAATTACTGCACTTACCATGATACAAGAAGAACTTTAATCAAGCGATCTAGTGAGTGTTCTGCAGACAAAGAGCTCTCTCTGCCCAAGAGCCTCATGAACTGGGTGTGAGAGGATGCCAGTTAGAATTATTAATTAAGTACATGCAACATAAACAATTAATCTGACTCCATATATAAAAGTACTTTTAATCAGATGATTCTCTAAGTAATGGTAGATGAAAACAGGAAGGGAGGGGAGACTAACTTCATGGAATAACCAACTAGCATGGAGGTGATGCTATGAGTACTTTTCCCCTGCATGATTGCTTTGCCACCTCAACTAATCTTGCTAGAGATTAGCTGAGGTCCACACTATCCCCATATGAAGGATGGTGTTAACAGTCTGATGTAGCATGGCTTGCAAGCTCTGTGTTGGAAGCACACTGATGATGTCTACTCTCATCTGTTACAAGTTGTCATGCACAGCCTGCTCTCATCTGTTACAAGTTGTCATGCACATTTGGTGACTGTAATTGCATATGCAAAATATGTTAGAGGATGGAATGGACAACAATGATATTGGTTAGTTTAAAAGAAAAATGCTTTAAAACAGAAAACCTTCAGCTTCCTTGATACCCAGTAAAATCTGGTTGCTGTATGCTCTGGAAGATGTTACCATGAACCTGAAGGTGTACTTTGCAAAGCTGAAAGTACAGTCAAATGATGTGTCTTTAAAGCACATAAACTATTAAAAAACAGAACTCCATCTGGGGCAAATTATTTTAGCTCTTCAGGAATTATTGGGTTTAATTTGATTTATACAATTTCAGGATCCAATCCAAAAGTATTTGCACACTTTTTTAAAAAAATCCACATTGCTAAGACCACCCAGAAAAGGTATATTTTCATGGTCAATTGGATTGTTAGGTACCCAATGCAAAAAAGTACATATGGTAATTTGGTTGCTTAATGAATTAAACCTATGATCACATGGTTTCAAAACAGGGGGCCCATACACTGAAATACATTCCACTGAGTATAAATGACAGTACTCAGTCTTAAAGCCTTATTTAAAAACATGGAATAGCTGCGATAAGAAGGGCCCTGCCTGCTGGATCGTTTGGAGAGGTCGGCTAGTCTACAAGTATGTTTGCAGCACTGGACAGCCAGAGGTTTCTGAGAAACTCATAACTGAGAAATAAAAGCAGCAGCGTCACTTTTCAGAATTATTTTGCTGCTGAATAAGCAGGCCCCATGTAGCTATGTTGACTGTTAGCCCTTGATATGTATTCTACATGAATTTGTCTAATCCCTCTTCCTGCTCTAGGTTAATTATTTAATATGAATGTAACCTTTAACTACTGTATAACAAAAAAATTACATATAGAAATGATATATGGTTGCAAGACTATGAGGAAATGTTGTCACTGATAAGAAATCAAACTTGATAATTACAGCCTTTTACTGTAAAAGGATCTCATGAAGAACCCAGAACTGTTATGATAATGAAGTTGATAATGATTTCACAATAAAATTGTGATGTAGTAATGGTCTTATGTGTGGTTCATTTTATTTGAAGTGAAACACTGTAAGTTTATACTAGTGAAGGGTCAGGGGGGAAAAGGTCAGGATTCCATTCCAAGTATTACCATAGAAAATGCTATTCAAAAATTAAAACATTAGGAACATTTTCTGTTCTTCAGCTCTAATGCCATTTATCTCCATTTTTAAGCTCAATATTTATTTTTAAAAGCACACAGCACTGAGAACACTTGATCATTTGGAGGCACTCATGGCTTTAATACCAGAGATGAAACATACATTTCCCCCCCAAACAATTTTTGGATGCTTGTTTGCCAAAGTCTGTCTTTCTTAGGAGTTCACAGCCTTTAGTGACAGTGCAGCGAAGAGAAAAACCACGCTCACTCAAGGAACTGTAGCACATATTTCTTTTTTGCCATTCTTATTTCTTGGCAAAAAGCTTCTTAAAGACACTCTTCTCTTTCTTTTGCTCCTGTTTCTTGACTTCTTTATCTGGCTCTTTTCTCCCTGGATCCTGTAGATTCTCTAAGCCCTTTGCTTTTTCATCCATGAATTCAGCTTTGTTTTCTGGAAAAAAAAATTAGGATTTCCCCCTCTCTTTAATGAAAATGAAGAATTCTAGAAAGCTCCTATTCATGAAAATGCACAGCAAAGTTATTTTTAACAACAACAGAGTATGGTAAGCTATGCAATTTCATAGCTCTGTTGCCAAGTGTTTTGTTATATGCTAACATGTCCTATTCTTCTGAATTATTTCTTCTTTCTTCTATGACGATCTCTATTCTTTTTCTTAATTCTGGGGCACTAGCACTTACAGACACTGAAAGATAATGGGCTCCTAGTATTATAACACAGCAAGCATAGCATAGTGGTCAGAGTACTGGGCTATAATCTGGGAGACTCCGGGTCAAATCCCCACTCTGCTATGAATTTTGCCTAGATGACCTTGGACCAGTCACTCTCAGTCTAACATCCTTCACAGAGTTGTTGTGAGGATATAATGCAGGAGGGGAGAACAATATAATCCACCTTGAACACTTTGAAGGCAGAACAGAATAGAAATGCACTACATAAATACATAGATAAATAGTATCAGCTAAATTCACTTGGCTCCAAACCAGGTGGTTTGCTGGGAATTATTATGGATCTGACATAGCATTACACACAGCTGCTTTACTGAATGAACTGCAGGCCTCATGACAGATTGGCTGGTGGTTTGTCTGTGTTTGACATACTGTCCCAATTCAGGAATTTAAATTGTTGGAGGGAGGCCAAGTATGTAACTAGAACAATGAGTAACTTCACACAGAGGGTGCTTGATGGGAGGCAGCTTTTCCAGCTCATTAGCTGCCTCTTCGGCCAGATTTAGCACATTTCCTAGTCAATGTTATTTTTCACCCAATTTTCCATACTTTGGAATCTCATATTTTTACAACCATTTGTCACAGTAAATGTTAATTCTCCAATATATTGGCTTATGCATTTGACTCATCCTCTGGGACATGCGAGTTCGAGGCTCTGCTAGTGGAATATTGAAGAGGGGACAACTGTTTTTCCCCTTTTTACTGCAGCTCCAGACTCACATGGCTTGTTCTTCATGTAGGTTCTATGGACTTCAGCTTTGGGGTGTGTGTGTCAAAAGGTGGTGTTGGAGGGAAGGCAATGTGAGGAAGAGCCACATGTACCAGTGTGTTGTGCCACTGATTGGCAGACAGATGCCTTCTAGTGTTCACACTCTTTCCTCTTAGTTACCTTGATCTTCCGGCTGCAGGGTTCCTCTTTCTTCTCCACTAGAACAAGGATGGGTTTTGTGGTAGCTTTGAGGGAGATCTGATGGCCTGGGCATCAGCAGAGTTGACAGATCTGACTCCATGGAAGTCACAGAAGAAGACCCTAATACAAGTAAACAAAACTTTAACTGTCCAGTAATGGAGTAAGGCTTGCATCAACATCCCAGCAATAACTTTAGATCCACTTTTAATTAGTATTTGCTGTTGTAAAGACAGCAGACTGCTTTATGATTTTTTCCTGCCTGACGAGGACTGCTAAAAACAGGGAGGCTGTCAAACACCTGGGGGGAAAAGGGGTCACATAGTACAGGCATGACCGCTACAAAGCATGCAGTTTTGTTATCTGGCAATAGGATCTGTAAGTGAGAGGCACTGACACATTTTCTTCTGCTACTATACATGTAGGTTAAAAGGACAGTACTTTTCTTATGCTCACCCCCCTGTTCTCTCTACTGACAACCTTTTCAGCGATTTCATAACAGAAAAAGAGCTCAGAATAAAGAGTCAAATGTTTTTCATTTACTCTAGCCCTGAAGGGTCAGGGCTCAGGGAACCCAAAGGACTGCCTGCCCCAATTTGACTGGGCCTAAATTCATTAAGCTCTGCCTCGTCTGGGATTCCCTCAGTATGGTAGTCTGGAGGAAGGGTAAGGCCTTTCTAGTTATGAGGGCATATCTTTGGACCACCTTCAGTATCTTAATCACTGACAACATTTAGGGACGAGATAAAGAGCTTTCTGTTTTGTGAGTTGCCTGGTTGGTTACATTTGTTTTGTTTCAGTTTTCTCCTGGCTTTGTTTCAATTAAAATTCATTTGTCTACCCTCTTTGTATTTGGTGTTTCTACTGCTGATTGTTTTATTGACAAGTTTGGAATTTATTTAGCTGCTTCAAGCAAATG